CAGTGAAGGGCAGGAAGGCCTGGCGCAATATGGTTCATGGGGTCGCGAAGGGTCGGACACGACTTAACAACTGAACAACAAAAGAAGATCAATAAGAGCTGTTGCAAGAAATAGGAAGAAAAATACACAGAAAGCCAACTTTAGCACTTAGGTGTGAATAGCAAAACTTGGCATAAAATGAAAGAAATTTTCATTTTGAATTTAAGGAGATCAAGGAAATTTTTTTCAGGAGCAAGATAAAGTAGTATTGAGAAACCTGCAAGCAGGTAGGAAAAACCAAAAGTTCAGTTCTGGGTTGAGAAAATAGACAAGTAAGCAGAGATTGGCAAGAACGAATAAAGTATAATAGCATTGTAAAACATAAAGATAATTATAGTGAGCGATATATTCCTACTGAATACTAATTTAAAGGCACTACCATTTTGGACATAATCCCAAAGTAGAATCCATCCTGTTCAATTATTATCCTGTTCCGTTATTAGACACATTTATTCTTCTGTTTTTCTTGACACTTATACAGACATCATATAATATTAAATAACAGTATTTGAATAGTTGGTATCTAGAACATTGGCTGGTTTTTATATGCAAGCATGTGTAGAAGAAGTCACTTGGTTTCAGTCTGTTGTGCACAGTGCAGTCTTTTTTAGCTGTAATAACAATGTATTGCTAACTGTCAAAGAAGTATAAATTGTGTCATTATCAACCTAAAGTAGTTATTTCAGGCCCAGTTATAAGCATGATTATGGCTATTTCACAAGATTTACTAGTTATACACAAGAGTAGGTAATTGACTTATTTCCTGTATAACTGGGCACGCTTCCTCTTTAATGTATTGGTTGTCCAGTAAGATAACTAATGCTTCCTATTTGGAGAAATGATCCAAAAAATCTAGCGCATTACTTGTTTAACACAGGATAAAGTTGTCTTCTGTCACACTAGAACAGAATTTTCTTATAATCAGAGGACTTGAACAAGTTATGCTTGCTCAGGCACCAGCTTGTTGCAATTGATTTAACAGGAAAAGTAATGTTTTAAATGTCCCAATCTGGTATTAATCAGATTCTGACAAATGACGTTTTTGAGTATCCAAGTGAGCTATTATTAAATAGATTAAATGTAGACTGATTTGGGAGTTGGCATGATTCTTACTTTCCCAACAGACAAATTAGTTCAAACTTCTTTATCTGATAAAAGAAGAACCTTTGTGTTCTGTAACCCAGTAGCTCTGTTCTTAATGTGATGTTCAAAAAGAAGTGTGTAGTTACGTAACAAAGGGCTGGAGTTCAGCAACAGTCTGACTTTAGGAAAAAGAAAGTGCTTGTGTCATAATAAATAATGATGAAAATCAGGTCTATCCTACTTTACTTATATTGCAACTGTTCTTCCATATGGAAATGATTGTAGGAAAATAATCTGGCATGAGTTTACTCAGTCATATTAAAACTCCATTTTAAGGAATTGTCTGGGAAAAGTTATACATTTGTTGCTCTTCCTATAGATTGATTTATTGAGAAATATCCATTGCTGGGAAAATGAATTATGGCTTAAAATTTATTGATTCCAGAGGAATACAACACTATCTGGATTATAAATTTAAATTTAGGCTGTTCCCACAAATGACTTGTGAGGATGAAGCAAATAACCTGGTATATTCCTGGCTTCTTTCCACAGTCGCATCTGCCTTTTTTATTGTCACAGATATTAACTCTTTCCACATTATGGTTTTGATGAATCCTTAAAACAAAAGTATTTGGAGACAGCTCTTTTTCTTTTGTTTGTGATAACAGAGCAACAAATTAACCTCCTTAACCATGTGAACATGCCCAAGGATTCCTAAGCCCATCAGTCTCCATTTCCTGAATGGGTTGTTTGGTGTACATTATTGTCTAGAGTGCATCCGCATTGAGGCAAGAGAATCTGCTCATAAATAAAATAAGTAAAAACTCTGTATTTCCAAAAGGTGTTCAGTATTATATTCAGCGGGTATATAACAACTACTGGGGGGAAAGGCTATTCTTGTTTTCTCTAGTCCATAGAGTTGGAATTGAAAGCAAATAGAATGAAATAACCATTTAATATGATGTCTTCATGTTTTTTCCTGTGTGTGTGTGTGTGTGCGTGTGTGTAAAACTGCAACTGAGGATGGGTTGGCCTTCATTTTCAAGGACTCATACCAAGTTCTATTAAACAAAGTTAAAATGCAATAAATGATGGGCCTTGTGATTATGCATGCCTGCTCCAGTTCTTTATTTATTGTGCAATACCACAATATCACGCTTGTTTCAAAACAGACCTGAACGGCTTCCCACAGCCATTTCATTTGTTTCCATTTGCTGATTAAGCAAATTTCTATAAAACCTTTTAACTGTTTTCTGTTTTGCATTTTATTTTCATTGTAGACGCATTTCTTAGTACTACCTAGTAATTCAGCACATAGTCTCTAAGGGCCTTTGAATTTCCCTTTGGTTTTAAAATGTCTCCTTTTGACCATTCTGCCTTGTCCTTTATCATTGCTATAATGGCAAAGTGCAACTTTGCTCAGGCATTTGGCAGCAATTGACTTGCTGTCATAGTGTGACATTGGCCTGGAGCAGTTTGGCAGGTGTTCTGTGATACCTTAGAATCACAGGATAAAGTCTGTTGGCGACCTAACTAAAATTAAATATGTGATCGAAAACAATACTCCATGAATATTTAAATTTCTCTGTGCTGGTCCATTTTATTTGGAACTTTTATTATGTTGCTTGTGATAGGCAGACTTTTTATGTTTCTTTTGCTACGTTTCAAGTCTTCTATTTAAAAAAAAACCTTTTTCAGGAGGGCAGTGGGGTATAAACAACAATAGTGTTTGAGGGGCTTAATGCACCTATTTTACTTACCACTCTTTCCAGAAAAAATACTGCTGGTATTGGCATTCTGTTGTAATAGTACTGGTACAGTCTTGGGCATCCACAAATCCACAGAAAGGACTTTCAGAGTCAACAGTAAGCAAAGTGCACAGTCTACTGGATTCCCATTCCTATTATATATGACAAAAGAATGAAATAAATGAACATACACACACATGCTTCCTAAGCCAGCGTTGAAATCCATCATAAAATAATCATAAGATTTATAGGGAAGAAAATCCTTTTCTCATACAGCAGTAAACCTTTGGCAATTGACAAGGATATTAGATAACTTTTTTTTCTTCTATAAGCATACGAACCTTGTTAGGGTAAAGGAATGATGGAAACTAACAGAATGTGCTGCAGATAAGTTAAAAAAAAAAATCTGCTTAAGCTTCCTTGCTCCTCACTGCCATTATCTTATTTAATAAATAGCATTTCATTGAATTCTTGATGCTATAAATCTAAATATCCCATTTTGTCCTGGGGATACTTCTTGAATTTTTTGTCATTTGTTGAATCTGCTTCTGATAAGTCACCTTATAAATTCCTTCTCCTCTTCCTCCTCCTCCTCCTCCTCTTCCCTCCTTTTAGGAACCTGCGTGAAATGCAACAAAGCTGTATATGGTGCAAACCAGGCTTGCCAGGCAATGGGGAATCTCTACCACGATGGATGTTTCACCTGCGGAGCATGTAGTAAGTAGCTCTATAAAACAGAAGTCTCTTGCCTTAGATGCCATTTAAGGTGGAAATTCTGTGCTAGTAATTGGTGCCCACGTGTCATTTGTCTGTGCTCCTGACATGTTCCTGATGCCTGAAAATGTTTAAAGGCTAGGTTTGAGGATTCTGCAGTCTTATTCAACTTTTGCTCACAAGAAATAGAATTCTGCCACCAAAGGCAAGCAAAGTCAGGCATCTCTTGCTGCCCACATCGACAAGGGGTGAAATGCTCTTTGACAACATTTTCTTGTTGGCACGCATTGTTGCAGCTGGGTTTGAATATAGCAAAAGCCACCTAGGCTGGCTTTTGTACAGGTTCTGGTCTGCATGGTTTAATAGTTGGCTCATTTTCTATTCTTGTTTGTTAGGCAGTTACTAGGTTCAGGGATCTATGTTTGTACAAGAACAGTTTTCTAATCTTCCATCCAGACAAATATTTACACTTACTGACATACTGTCAGGCAAAATTTAGCAAAAAGTATTTATGAAGAACAGGAAAGTGGGGCATCTTTTGCATGATCCAGGAAAATCTGGAGCCCACCCAGGAAATAATGTGTGATTTTCCAAAGGAGCAACTATTTCTCCGGGCACAATCTCTGGCTTATTTTATTTGGACGGGATTCTGAATCACATTATTAACTCCTGTGATAATTCTAAATGTCTGCTGCACCTTTTATTTCTTAGCGTTTATATATTTAAATGAAAACAACTATGCTTGGAATTTGGTAATATAGACTAAAGGGGTGGGGGGGTAACTTTTTCAGCTGCAGATGCTCTCTAGACTGTTTTTGAGATTAGGCCCTTCAGCAAGTCCTCATTGCTTAATCTGGCCTTCTTCAGCCAAGAGGCTGAAAAAACCAAAGAAGTAATTTCTCTCAGTGATGATAAAGTCATACCAGAGCCTTTGTTAAAAAGAAAGTTGCATTTTTAAAAAATAAAATACACAGAAAACAATGGATGAAAATAAGTTTTAAAAAGGTAATATACATGCATCCAACAAATAATTTAATTAATTGTTAAGGTATAATATCAAAGGAATCAAAAAACCCAAAAATAATAAACCATTAGAAATCCTCAAAATTAACTTGTTAAATTGGTATAAATCACCTAGATTACACATTAAAATATTTATTCTTGTAAAATATAATGAAGTATATGCCAAACAGATATACTTCGTCATTTTTGATACCTGGATTAGTAGTACTTTTCTTGATACCTGGAAAAGTAATACTTTCCAATCTCCCAGTACCTCTATTATTCTCTTGGCTATTCCCCATGCCTAATATAGCCAAGTTCCTTAAAAACAGTGAAATTCCATGGTTTTGTAATGTAATTCAAAATAGCATCAGCATCTTTAACATGAAAACACCATTATCAGATTTTTCAGTTCTGTATTATGTAAGTTATAAATGTCAGTAATGTGAACTTCAAAGATATTTTAAAATTTCCTGTATAGTTTCAAATTCAGTTTGATTTAAAGAACAGACTCCATCAAAAATAATAATGTTTCAGGCATCTTTAAGGTGATTGAGGCATATTAGTCCATACTGAGCAATCAAAACATGCTTGATTATATGGCCACGATTTTGAATTAGACAAAGAAAAATTATCTGAAGTTTTTGAAATTTCTTAAAATAGTCATTACAAAGCAATCAGTTTAAAGTAATTATTACAGACTCTGCCCATACTTTCTAATCAAATGTCATACCATCTGTTTTTAAAGTAGATTTCTTCCATAAAGTACTACATTCATGATACTCAGCATCAAAGTCCAAACTGCATCCCAATAGGGCCCAAATATATCTACAGTCCCAGAGTCTGCATTATTTGGGAAGAAGTGATTGCGATTTTCTTTCCTCTCCAAATAATTTTAGATTTCTGAAGAAGCTGGGAATAGAATACATCTTTTCCTGCTTTTCATGTCCCTTATCTGCTAGGGAACTAGTTTACTCATATTTGTGAATATTTAAAATGATACACATATTCTACAGGTAGTCCTCAACTTATGACCATTTGTTTAATGACCGTTCAAAGTTATGATGGCACTGAACGAAGGGACTTATGACCCATGCCCAAAGTTATGGCCGTTGCAGCACCCCTGGGGTCACGTGATCAAAATTCGGGCACTTGGCAGTCCGCCCACACTTAAAACCACAGGGGAGCTTCAGCTCCCCCCACCTGCCTATCTCCCCCACAGTCTATGCCCTTTTGGTCCCCTGCCACAATGTGCTCCGCCGCACTAGCTGACCTTCACTGTCTTCTTGCTCCCGCTGCTGGTGAGGTGTGCCTGGCCTGGTTGCTGGGCCAGGCTGGGGCTGGGCTTTATGCTGCAGAAAAAAGCCAAAGCAGCCCCAGAGCTGTGGCCTGCCAAAAACCCCCTGGGCAAGGTGGGGCTTCGCATTTCCTTTTTTTTTTCACAGCCCGAAGCCCAGCCCCAGCCCAGCAACCTTGTCAGCATGTCTGATCAGCAGGAGGAAGAAGACAGCGAAGGTCAGCTGGTGCGGCAGAGTGCAGGGCGGCGAGGGCGACTGCAGCTAGGATTGGGCTGGGGCAGCTGTGGCTTCCTGGGGTGTGACAAGTAGCCCCAGAGCCATGCAGTTCTGGGGCTGCTTGCTGCCCCCCAAGGCAGAGTGCAGGGCAGCCAAAAGAGCAGAGATGGAAGGGAGATAGGTGGGTAGGGGGAGTTGGAGGCAGTCCTTACCTTACTGAGACCAAGCCCAGAATGCCTTGGATTGGGGTGGGTATTCGCCTAATGACCCACGATTTTTGGTTAATGATAGCAACCAGGACTGCAAGGATTGTTGTTGCTAAGCGATGCGCTCACATGACATCTTGCTTTACGACTGCATCACTTAGCGATGGAAATTCTGGTCCCAATTGTGGTTGTAAGTCAAGGACTACCTGTATAGTATACTGTATATTCAGTAGCTGTAAAGACCATCTGTTTGTGTGTGTGTCTGTCTGTCTGTCTCTCTCTCTCTCTCTTAGGATTTCTACCTATATACCAATAGGCTTCTAATATTTCTTACATTTAAAGTTACAACAAACATTACAGAGAATGCAGTTTGTGTAATCCTATTTACAGACTGACAATGATGTGTTTTCTTGTTATATTGTATTTGTTTTGAAAACTCAATGCACTGTATATACATTGTATATACACTGACTTTATTTTAAGAGTCAGTATTACAAATACTGGAATGAATATATGCATAATTATATGTAAGCAGAATAATTGATACATGCCAATAAATCCTACAACTCAAATCTAAATCTGGTTTAATTTACAGTAAGACTATCTTGTATAATTTATTCTGTAAGTCTGTGCCAGTTCAAGTTTGGGAGTTCCAATATTCTCTGGCTTTTTCCTTCCCACACAAATTTATAACTAGTAATTTTGTTAACAAGCATTATACAGTATTCCAGATTTCCCTTTCTTGTATTTTTAATGGCAAAAAAGCCACTTCCTCTGTTTCTGCTAGTAGTAATTGTTGCATAGATAAAACACTGTTTTTTAAACTTTCTGAGAATCTTATAGTCTGTCCATTGAAAAACTTTTGAAAATTACAAATGATTCTGTTTTCTGAGATTGGATACTGGCATCTCATACTGTTTGGGCCCAGTAATGTATCTTATACACCCAGCACTCTTCTTAGAGGTGAAGATGAGCATTAACAGGCCAGTTATTTTTCTGAAAAATTTCTTAGGATTATTAATCTTGTAATTAGCTTTTTGTGTTATTCTAGACTGTCCTAATTTTCCATCTAGCCAAGTCCTGGTTCTAAACAGATCCCTTAACTGTAAACTTTTCGAGACCTTCTGGTTATAGAACTTGTGCTCTGCAATTAATCTACAGTCCTTCCCTGATTGAAATTTGATAAATATTCCCTGGAACACAATTTGAAAACCATTGCTTTGATTTAGCCCATGTTTGTAAATTTTCAGATTTAAATTATTAATCTAAATACAGCATCTTTAGAGAAAGACACATATCGCATAGTATGAGAGTCTTCTTTTCCTCAGTCACACCAGGATTCTGGCAATTCATAATGAGCTTATCTTCCCATTTATATAGTTGTGAATGTTGTGTCCATATCCCCATCTCAGGCTTGTGTTCAAAAATATTTGACTAAATAAGTTTAATTGTTCAAACTAAGTTTCAAATCCTATAGTATAACCAGGTTAAAGACTTGTGAGAATCTCCTGTTTCTTTTAATAGGATTTGCTTAGGAGAAATCATGCTCAGATTGTACTTGGGGTTTTATATTTTGGCATTAAGGGTAAGTGTTCTGTGTAATCAGTAGCATTCATAGCAAGTGAAAACTGAGAATCTCTATATGAGAATGGTTGTATGTTATTTATTTTATTTATTGATTGTATTTATAAATTTTTGCTATAGTATAACATTTAAATAGAAGGTGCGTGTATGGCAAATACTCTTAAATATCTGTGCATATGAATTAAGAAGTCAGATCCAAAACAGGATTCAATCCATATATACGTTAAGGAATCACACTTCACATGGTGTCTCTAAAGTGTACCTGCAACATATAATTGTCACACAAACTGTGGCACTATTCTATTATGTGGCTCTGGTTTGTATTCCTCTTAATTACATTTCTTTATCGAGGGGTTAATTTAGGGGAAGATTGTCTCTTATGTGCTTGAAGATTGTCATTTTTCTCGATTTTCTTCAGGAATTGTCCCTGGAACTATGTGGTCCATGACTCCTTGTTGATATTCCCCTGACGTAAGACTTTTGCACAAGAGAAGTCGAGCCACATCCTTTTTTGCTTTATAACTTGTTTTTATAATTCAGAGGCTTGGTCATACTACTTGTGTAAGCTTATTTATATCCACGTTTGAAATTGTTTTTGCTGTTCTGGATGCTGGCCATAATTTGTAAGAAGCTCAAGGTCTACTACAGCGTTGTAATATATGTAGAAAATTGCAGTAGGCAGCTTTGTTAAAGACCT